GAATTATTATTGAGTGTTTGAATTGTTGTTAAAGGTTTCTTGGGAATCGAAACTTAGAACGACAAAAATATTTCTGACGAAAACAAAGGCGAAACGTAATTCATTTAACATTGTGCATTTAAAAAAGGTCTGCATAATTATATATGTCACATTTAATTGTTGAGAAAACTTATTTTCAGTGGCAAGATATCGTGCCCTCAGTTAAGAGCATTTTGAAATGCCGATTTTTCACGTCCGCTCAAACAGACGAACTTGTTGGTTCAACCTCATGGTACATTGTTGGATAAAACATAATTGTGTTTTTTTCAACTCAATTTAAACATTATATCTGGCAATGTTATTTGATGTTAGATAAAGTTTGACTTTATTATTCAAAATTTTCATCTAATGTCGTCCAACACTACTTTCTGGACAGACAATGTTCAACGGACTTGAAATGGTTTGATTTTTTGAACAAGAAAAACCTAGAAAAGTATTTATGACAAAGTTAATATAAAACCAAGAGCAGTCACATGAAGTGATAGTTTGACTACAAAGGATTAAAGGCATGTTACACAACATACATTCGTGCAAATACATGCAGCTGAAAGATATTGTGTAATCCTTACATATACTAATCGGCAATTTTTTTATTAATAAAAATTCTGAAACATCTCACACACATACAGTTCTATTTTTGATATTAAATGCAATTTAATGTTCAAAACATTTTCACATTTATGGACACCCTGCCGCTCTGGCCTCTTCATGGGCATAAACGACAACGTTAAATTAGTAATAAAGATAATGAGCTCTTGCGCTTACCTTACCAGGGCCGAAGTGAATATTCGAATTCGTCTTTTTTTCCAATATTATAGTTGAGTTCAAGTGTTTTATGAATAAGCTGGGGGTACCAACCTTACTCTAGACTCTACTCGCGTGCGTCTGGGCTATTTGCGTGTGTTTACGTTGCAGTGCCTATATACTAACTAGGGTACCTGCAAGGTAGGGATTGCTGCGGGCATTAACTACAGTAAACAGCACAAATTATATCAAGCACAGTGATTACTCGCAGCGACTAGTGCCGCTGTGAATGGAACTGAGAAGAAGCAGTATATATTGAAGTAGCAAAGACCAGGGGTTAAAGGGCAATCAGAGGTGACAGATATTAAACATGTGCGTCTCATTGACATACAGGTAAATTAAGATCAGATTTCATATCAAGTCTGTTTACTGCTAGGCGCATTTACTACATTATATATAGACTATATACTCAGATTTATCACACTAACAAACCAAAACTTTATAAAAATATAGAACTGACAGTGGCCAAAGTCCAAAACAAATGTAACCGTAACATTAGACTTGAAAAAGCTTTAGAAATTCGATAAAAATTCGAAGACTCGAGCGAGTTTAAAATTTGTGTTCTGCGCATAGAAAGCGCGCACGACCACAATTCCATGCGCTAAATAAAATTTAGTTCAAAACCCCCTCTCTGCACATATTAGGCTGCTGCTACTCTCCCTCGGTTCAGGCTCGCTCGCTCCGCAGCAACAAGGTTCTTGGTAATAGTGACATAATACTATTCACCTCCTAACAAAAACAAATGGTTTCCAATTTCGTAACTTTTGCAGACAAGCAAATTTTTGTACTAAACGAAACTGCAGTTTCGCCAAACACAAAGAAAGTCATAACCCCCCACTTTAACAGTGTGTAGATGTATTCTTTAAAAATATTTCTAATGAATAAAATTACTAAAAGCTTGTAAATACTGTTTTGTTTACAACTATTTCGGGAGCAGGAATATATGAACTGTTTTAAAAATATTTTCGCTGTTGATAATAATGATGATAATAAAGAGACAACATAATTATCAGCAACTTGAATGAAGCTTAAATAAAGTTTCTTACATGATGCTGGACACAATCACAATAAAAACATGGCGTTTTACGATTTCCCTGAAGAAGAATGAAAATTTATTGTGCTTAATTCGAAAAATAATTTTCGAGGCAAACAACTTTTCCAAATACTAAAATATGATTCTGTCGCAAAATAAATTTGCGTTATTTGCCCCTTGAAAAGGTATAAGTTTACGTACATGATGGTAGTTTCTGTCCTGATCTCAAACTTATTAACACTGATGATTTCTGAGTAAGAGAGGATTTGAACCAATTACTCGCATTTGACATCTTTTATTTTTAGATTTAAACCATTTCCTAATGTTAAGTAGTACACATTGGGTAACACAGCGGTAGTACTTACCAACTGAAAGAAAAACTTCATATTTATAATGATTTCTTAACAATGCTTTTTGTCGTCCATTATTTCCCATTATTCTTATAAACATTTTTTTCAGGGTGATTAGTATGAGTTTAATCCAGTTAAGAATTACAATTAGCGAGGTAACCAAACTCTAATTAATTCAAAACCTACTGAACGATCAAGGGCAACAAAAACAATGCTTCGTTTACGAGATACCGCGATCAGTGCTGGAATATCACTCAAATCTACACAAGTTAATATTTCACCTCGTTCTACGTCAATTAAGTATAAGGTATGATTAGTTGAGCAACAAACTAAGTTTGTTTTGTCAAAAAACTTTAACCATAGAAGATCGTTAGTTGTCCCGTAAATAGTCATCTGAGCAAGAAATTTTATTGACGCAACGTCAAATATGAATATTTTGTTTATTTTTTCACTGAACACTGCTAACCTATTTCCTTCGGGAGAAAAGTCAGCAAATGAAATGGATTTTAATGACGTATTCATGTAAAAAACATCCTCCCATTCATCCATTCTCGTTCCATCTTTCCATATAGAAACGTCACTGGAGTCGATCTGTCCAAGTACATAGTATTCAATGCTGCATGCATGCACTAACGTAACAAGCTCGTTAAAAATCGTTTTGTTTTCTTTTTTTGAGTGAAAACATTAAAAAAGGTAATAGAGGACTGGTCGACACAGTCTATTAACTCATCAGATACTGACAAGCATTGCTTGGTATCAGCCAGCTCATCAAAACTTGCAAGTCGCTGTGTCAAATCGCTATTCTAGAGCTCTGGAGTGCGGTTGTTACCATCTAAAATTACACCGTTTCTCATAACTGGAATATCTAATTGACTTGAATGTTGACAAGTTCGTGAATATCTTTATTTGAATCGAGGTTGAAAATGCTAAATTTCTGTGCCCATGTGTTATTTAAATAAACAAAATCGCCATTTGTAGATAGGGTAGAAAAGAAGCCTTTCATGTTGACGCCCAGTTCCTCTGTATCAAGTAAACCCTCTGCACTAAACACGTGCATAGCGTTCGAACTGCACGAGTAGATCAGCACGCTATTATTCGCTATTAAAATATATCTAAGGGCAGTGAACCAAGACCAATTAAACGAGTCCTTGAGAATCTCCTTTATCTTTGGAAACCAAGACTTATGAGGATGTTGCAACAAACATTGTAGTTCGTCAGAATTATATGGCACAAATTACTCGGTAGAACTACGTCTAATGGATCAAGGCTATCACGTTGCAGAGGAGGAGGAGCAGAGAAATCATGATTCACAATGCTGATACGATCTTCAAGAAAACAAAACCAAGAATTTTGTTTAAAACTGGAAACAATTTCCACCGGGGACTGGCAGCTATACGTCATTGACTTAACGTTGTAATAATCATTCGCTACATCGTAGATGTAACATATGCTAGTGATTATATGGTTTAATAGGGATTAAGTAATAAGAGACGTTTTATATAGATATCTGATGACAGGTAGAGACTGAGGGAAATGTGATTGTATACAAGACGAATATAACAACAAGAGCTTTTTTGAAATAGTATTGTTTCCTTGTTTGTGTATATTACATTTGGTGCCGTGACCAGGATGGCAACTTCGAGTCGTACGAGCGTAGCGCTTCCCGAGACCTTTTCAGATGGGGATATTGTTTTATGGCTGCGAAAATTCGAGCTTTGTTCGACCGCAAACGACTGGAAAGATACCGACATGTTAAAAAGGTTACCGACACTTTTGTCTGGTAAGGCCTTCGCAGTTTTTGAGCGTCTCGCAGCAGAGGCCAAAGAAGATTACAAAACCCTTACGAAAGCTTTAACGGCGGCGTTTGGCGGAGATACAACGGGCAAACATCTTGCAATGATGGCGTTTCGCAGTCGAACGAGAAAGCCAGACGAAGACATACAAGTGTTCGCCTACAATTTAGAGGCACTATTAAGGCGCGCAATGCCAAAAATCGAAAACGGAGACAGAGATGTCCTGCTCCAGCAACAATTTATCGAAGGAGTACCCACAGAACTAAAAAGGGAACTATTACAACGACCAAGCATGTCCTATGAAGAAATGGTTGCGGTTGCCCAGCAACTAGATTTAGTGAGTCAAATTTCATCGCACCAAACCGGGAGTCAAGTCAACCTGGCAAGTGCGAGTGACAATTTGCAGACAACAACGAGGGATCAGCCCTTGGTTGCGCAGTTGATGGAAAATGTAGAAACACTTGCCAGGAAGGTTGGTGAATTATCTGTATCTGTCGCCAATGTCAACGCCACGTCAGCGCGAAATTCTACTCGGGGAAGACTGGGGCCTTGCTATCAATGTGGCAAGATGGGCCACATCGCCAACGAGTGTAGAAGCACCGGTAACAGAAGTCGACAACCAAATTACCGACAACGCAGCGCCGAAAATTACTGCTTCGTGTGCGGGCAAATCAGACATTTTGCGCGAGAATGCCGATTTAGATACCAGTCCCCTGTCGCTGGTCAACCGCGTCAGGGAAACGACCAAGGACCGACCCATTACTAGGCCGGGGGTCCGTCCAAGAAAATACGGCCTTGCCCATAAACTGTATCCAGCCTACTGCGGTTTTCAAGACACGAGTGGGTGCCCATGAGCAAAAATGTTTGGTGGATACAGGTGCAACGGTATCGTTAATAAGTCGAGAACTTATAAGTGGGCCTTTAAAGCCATGTTCGTTGAAGGCAAGAGGGATCGGTGGAGAGGAACTACAAGTCCTAGGAATGAAAGAAGTGGAAGTCAGTATCGGCACATTGACTATATCCCACCAGTTTATGGTCGTAGGAATGAGGAACACCTGTATTTTAGGTGCTGACTTTTTGAAGTCAGGGCGAATGGTCGTGTATATAGCAAATTCGAAATTAACTTGGCCATCGGGAGAAGTGGCGTTGGTAATCGAGACAACTGCACCAACTGTCAATAAATTAAGCGTACTGTTAGATAATTATTCAGATATTTTTGTAAGCGGACCAAATGACCCTTTAGGCCGAACCACTGTAGCAGAACACTCGATTGACACAGGAGACAGCCGTCCTGTGAAGCAACGGCCTTATAGAATTCCTGTTCATCTCAACACTGTAGTGAACAAGCAAGTGAACGACATGATCGAAAGAGGTGTAATCCGATCTAGTAACAGTCCCTGGTCCTCACCAATCGTATTAGCTCCGAAGAAAGACGGGGATTATAGATTTTGCGTTGACTTTAGGCGAGTGAACTCGGTGACAAAGAAGGACGCTCATCCTATGCCTCGTATAGACGAAATTCTGGACCAGTTAGGCGGTGCGCGTTACTTTAGTACCTTGGACCTTACTTCCGGGTACTGGCAAGTACCTCTAAGGGAAGAGGATATGGAGAAAACGGCTTTCTCCGTTGGTGCGAACCACTATGAATTTACAGTTATGCCCTTTGGTTTAACTAACGCTCCCGCCACATTTCAGCGCATGATGGGGAATATATTGATGGGTATTAAAGGCGGCCTAGTATTCATGGATGACATTATTATTTTCTCGGATACG